TGCATATCTGCATCAAATTTTCTTATTTGCTTATTTAGAAGTGGTATGGATCTATTTTGCAGGCTCCTGAGTGGGAACCAATTGACAGGTTCCTTGCCTGATGAACTTGGCTATCTATCGAATCTAGAAATACTTCAAGTTGACGAGAATAACATATCCGGACCAATACCCACATCATTTGCAAACTTAAACAAAACAATTCATTTGTAAGCGCATTTTTGAAATAGCCACTACTATTGTCCCTTGTTATTTTCACTTTGTCTTCTTTCTTATATTTTCAATCTATTCCTTATCTTCTTTTTGCTTTTGAGCAGTCACATGAATAATAATTCAATTAGCGGACAAATCCCTCCGGAGCTCTCCAAATTAGCAAACCTTATACACTTGTAAGTTTATCACAGGTTAATTTCTCCTATTTTAGTCTTGTAATATATCTGTAGCATTAACTTATCTGTGATTTTGTGCAACTCAGCTTCCTTCTAAGGCTCCATTCATTTTTTCTTATGCAGCTTTCTTAACAATAACAATTTATCAGGGTATCTTCCAGAAGAGCTTGCCCAAATGCCGAATTTAACCATCCTGTATGTTTTCTTACTTTCCTAGAAATATTTTGATAGAGATTCACGCTTCTAAGTCATTTATTCTGATTGTTGTGGGATAGCCGGATAGCTAAATGAAAATGTTAAATGAGAGTGAGAGCTATATATTGTACCTTGTTAGTTATTCAACACAAGGAGGAGGAAAATAATAGGACGGAGATGAGGTATTTATATATAAAAAAGACAAACATGAAGAACATTTTTTTTTTCTCATTAATAAAGTCCATAGTTTGATTTATCCTTTATATTTTTCTTCTATAGATCATTCTTCTCTTGAGTATATCTTTATAATCTTACATGAAAATGCTTTTAGATTTCAAATTTCAATTGATAATCTTCTTTGATTTCCTTAATAGTTTCCATTTCTACCTTTTGCAGTCAACTTGACAATAACAACTTTGACGGGGCTACTATTCCAAGATCATTTGGAAACATACCTACATTATTGAAGTTGTAAGTGCTTACTGGACCCTATCCTCGCATTATTTAGATTTAGAAGGTAGAGATGAGGAGACAAGTGCTACCATCTTATTAATATGTTTATACGAGATACGTATAAGACTACACATCTGAAATTTCTATAAACCAATATTTACATGGTTTCACTATTACAAGCAAACAATGGCTAAAATCATCAGTAACAGAAACACAAAACAATAAAATTTCTCTAAAACCATATTTACATTAGGTTTAAGTACCATTTTGGTCCCTCAACTTTTCATTTTGGTATCAAAATTGTCCCTCAATTTTAAAAAGTACCAAAATTATCCTTAAACTTTCGTTTTTGTACCAAAATGATCCTTCCGTCAGTTAAATTAACAGCTGGCACGTTAAATGAACAGATAATACGTTAAATGTACAGCTAGCACGTTACATGCCACAACATCATTGGACAACTTAATTTTAATGACGTGTAAATTTCAATTAAAAAAATTTGATATTTTTTATTATTGTTTCACCATTTTTCAAATTAAAAAAAAAAATCATCTTTTTCCTTTTTATTCTTGTTCTCTCTCTTCTCCCTTCTTCCTTTCCAAATCAAACCCAGATCTGGGTTTTTCTCCTCCTCTCTCATCCTGCACATCGCTGGAACCCAGATCTGGGTTTTTCTCCTCCTCTCTCATCCTGCACATCGCTGCAACCCAGATCTAAAACCCAGATCTCCATTTCCATCTTCCACCCCTTCCATAACACAGTTACTTATAATGCTCTCTTTTCCTCCTCTCTCATCCTCGCTCGTCCCTTTCTCAAAACTCGATGTTTCTCCGAACCCAGCTCCTGTAACTTATGATACGCTCAGTTCTATCCTCCAAGTGCCACCGCTGCAACCACCAGCCGTTATACTTCCAGGGAAGAACAGGGATCTCGTTATCTGAAACCTCAGGGTAGATCTCGTTATCTGAAACCTCAGGGTATGGCATCCTGCACATCGCTGTAAGAGATTCTGGGTATATCGGTGGAGCTATGGAGATGAATACAGGCGTTGATAGGTAACTGGATGCAAGATTAATTGTTTGGTGGAAGGTAAAATAACTGTTAGTGGTTTTGATTTTGTTCATTTTCTTTTAGCCACGGGCCATCATGATGTTGAAGACGATCAGGGAGATGGGGATGAGGTGCCAGAGCAAGCTGAGGAAGAGGAGGAACATGACAACAATCATGTAGTTTGTGCAGAAGAATGCAACATTGGTTCCAATTCTTTGTAGGAAGACGTTGACGTTGGATGGGAAAAATCCAGATCTGGGTTTGAGAAAAACCAAGATCTGGGTTTGATTGGGAGAGGAAGAAGAAGGAAAAAGAGAAAGAAGAAAGAAAAAGGATGAGTGGGGAAAGGAAGGAAGAAGTTTGATTTTTGAAGGATTGAGAGATAGAGGAGAGGAGGAAGAAAAAAATCCAGCACTGGTGATGGTGAACCCAGATTCACTGTAAAGAAAAAAAACCTAAAATGGTGAAATGGAAAAATAGAACGAGAAGAGATGTCGAAGGAATGATGGCCCAAGGACAAGAGAGAGAGACAGAGGGCAAGAGTGAAGAAGAACAGGCCTAGGAACGAAAGAGAGAAAGAGGGGAAGGATGAAGAAGAACAGGAAAATAAGGAAGAAAAGGTTAATCGACTTTAATTAATTAATAATAATTAATTAGTCCTTATTTATTTATTACAATTAAAAGTGCCACATTGACAAAAAAAAATGCCACCTCATCAATTTGTGTGTTTTTTTTCCACATCAGTATTTTTTTCAAAAAAAAAAATACAATTCTCTGGCAACTTAACGTGCAATCTGTCCCTTTAACGTGCCAGCTGTTAATTTAACTGACGGAAGGATCATTTTGGTACAAAAATAAAAGTTTAAGGATAATTTTGGTACTTTTTAAAATTAAGGGACAATTTTGGTATCAAAGTGAAAAGTTGAGGGACCAAAATGATACTTAAACCTTTACATTAAAGAGAAACTAATACAACTTAGAAAGATAATTTTCAGAGTGAAATTAGGTTTTGCTTACGCAACTAGGATGAAATGAAATTATTATAAACATGAAATACCTTAAATACTATACTACTGAATTAATGAGCACCATATAGCTATCCCTAATAATTTTAACATGGATTGAAAATGACTATTAGAAAGCATATGTGGACTTGAAGGTGTGTGGAATTTTGTGATGCTAAACATTTTTGTTGGTTAAATTATTAGGAGTCTCAGGAACTGCAACTTGCAAGGATCAATCCCTGACCTAAGTGGAATACCTAACCTTGGTTATTTGTAAGTTCATGTGTTTGTTCCTCATGATGGAATGACTTTCCTATTAGAAAATTAAATGTAACTGTTATTTCCATTTCTCTTGTATAAATTTCAGGGAGCTGAGCTCAAACAAGCTAAGTGGACCCTTACCTACAAATAAACTCTTTGAGAATATCACAACCATGTAAGATTCTCTCACTAGCAATGTACACATTTTTGC